GTATACTAGTCAGTCCCAGTCACCGTTTCACTCACGGTTTTTTCCATTTGCATTCTGGGTAAAAATCTATCTAAAAGCGCGAATGTGTTGTCGCATGTGCTTTAAACCATGCGGCTTATAGCCCGGTGCAGCCCTGTGGATTTTTCCTCTACCACCAGGGGGCGCTTTAGCAGGAAGTGAATCGTTGGAAGTCAAAATTGGAAATCAAAGAAGAAACTGCTGATTTCTGCTGATTTTCATGTAGAACAAGCACATGCTAGCAGCGAAGAAATTTCTCCAAACTCATACCCGCTCATCATGGGAAGATGTTCATATGATGAAGTTGAAGACTACAGACCGACAGCCGCTGATCGTAAGCTCGGCGTGAACGAATCCATGGTTGGAGACGCAGGGCTGCATCTTTAATAGCAGATTTATTTCCTTGTGGAAAACCGAGAGTAGGAGATACCAGCGACTTTTAGCCTGATGCGGCTTATATATGTATGTTTCCAGTTTAAAAAAAAAAAAAAAAAAACTTTGTGGGTGTGGCTTACAGTAAGATACGCTTTATAGTCTGAAAAATACGGGCATGCAATCTTGTACATATGCATAATAATAATAGAATAATTGATTTTTTTTTTTTTTTTTTTTTTTTTAACCGTATCAAGATATTTCAACTTAATCAAGTTAGCAGTTTACATACACATTACATAGTGGGGTTTTATTCAAGGTGTTGTGTCTGATTTGTGCCTGGAAGTTCAGATTTCCTTGTTCTAAGCTGGAAAAAAAACAGCAAATCCTCACTTGGAAACGTATGATTTAAAAAAAAAAAATAGAAAATCCAATTTTAGTGTAAATCTACTTTCCAGAGTTGCACATTTATATACTTTTGACTTTTACTAATTTCTTAAATGGATCTCTGCAGAAGTGATGTGTTTCCATCCATCCGTTAATTATACCTGCCCATCCCTGCAGGGTCACGGGGGTCTGGTGTCTTGGAAGGTTTGATTAACTGTTTGGTATTATTTTCTAGGGCATTCCTGGTCCTGTTGGAAAACCTGGGCCAAAAGGAAGACACGTAATACAATTTGTTTTTGATCTTTTTTTTTGTACTTATCTGTGTTTAGCTGTTTGAAGGTCAGGTGAGTTCTCTCTACATTAGTCTGGGAAATCCAATAGATTGTTGGACTTAAAGTAAACACATCCTAGTGGAGCAATTTAGATCCACAAACATAACCTGTGTTAAAATAGGTTTATTTTGGTACGTACAGGTTTTCTAGGGCTTAAATTGGAAATAATTCCTGGTACATTGTAAAAGGCACAAATGCATTTTCTGGGTTTGGGCTATTAGTGTGTTTTATGTGTGTATTTTTAAACAACTAAGCTAAAACGGCTTGTTTTAGTTTAAACTTTCATCTTAAACCTCATCTTGCTCTTAGTGGTGTGTTTGCTAGTCTTTCCCTTATTGCATAGTGGCCAAAAGAAGTGTAGGTCTCACATTTGGGACTGAAACTGTTATTTAAACAAACAAGAGCGGAATAAACAACGCATATCCTCCTTTGTAAAATGTTTTCTGCTTCTTCCACAGGGTGTGGTAGGAGACGTCGGGGAGAGGGGCCCACCTGGTCCAGATGGCAGCCAGGTGAGAACGCTAATCTTTGAAGTACCTGTGGATTGGAATTTAAAAATGTATATATTACAAAACTCAGGTGAAATGAAAAGTTGCTGTAAATGTAAAATGTTCCTTTAATACTCCATTTACTCTATTGGTTCCCTGCTTAAGTACCCAACACCTGGACTAAACATTATTTCTCCAGTTGGATTCCAACTTTTTCACTGGACTGGATTCACATTTGTTTAAGAATCTGTTTGTGCTTTTATCATCTTGTATTGTAGGACACTTTTTATTTTACAAAATGTAGTTTTAAAATAAGCAATGTTAAGTTTAAAGTGTGCACACTTATCTTTATGCTTGTTAATGCCCAAGAGGGGTCTGTTTACAGTTGAATGCACAGAACACATTATAACTTATTAAAATTAGTGCATCTTTTTTTGTTTTTGTTCATTGCTCTTAGTGGCAACAGAAATCAAAAGGAAAATACATGATTCAGCAAAATAAATCTTTTGAGATTAATATTATATGTATGTTTGTAAAATGTTTCTGAAAATGTCTTGTGCTATAATGTTTTAACAGGGGCCTGTTGGTGGTTCTGGTATTACCGGCTTTCCTGGTTTGAGGGTGAGTCTGATATTTGTCTTGTTTTCTTCACACTGGTACATTTTTATAGTGTAGACTGAAAGACACCACCGGAACCAGAAACTTGCATTGTATAAAAACATTTTTTTATTTTTTTTTTTTATGGTTTAACATTAAATTAAGCTAAACTTTCCTGTTTTGGGTCAGTTATGATAAACAGAAAAAGGTTGATTTGCTAGAAACCAAAATTGTAAAAAGATAATGAATGTGTTTTGTATATTTTTCATTAATCTTGTCAAATTTAGGAGCTTGCATACACTAAAATTCCTGTGCCAGAATTGTGAAGCTCAATAAGATCAGATCATCTTTGGGCAAAATCTCTAAATCCCTTTCATTCCAATAATTATATACGAGTAAAATATCGAATCGAATCAATCCGAGAACAAAATCAAAAAACCTTCTGAAGATCCTGGTTGAAGTGAGAGGGTGACATTAAACACCATAAAACAACTCCTGTACCAACATGGACCGAAAGGCCACTCAGTGAGGAAGAAGCCTGTCTCCAATAGCAACATACAGAACCGTCAATAATTACATTCTGAAAATGCATTCAACCTTAATTTTGGAGACGTGTTCTGGAGTCTGATGGAGCTTGCAAATGAGAGAAAACTAACTCAACTGTGCAGTTCGGGGGTGGCAGCATCATGTTGATTTCGTTGTTGCTGCAGGTGCTCTTCAAAAGAGAGATTGCATCATGAGAAAAGAAAATGAAATAAAAATATTGGGACATCTCTAGACATCAAATTCACGCTCAAGTGGGATCTGTAGAAGTCCCCACTGAGTTAACGATGGGTTAAAATGTACAACAATTAGAATTTAACAAAGGACAGAAAAGGGTAGCAACAAAAATTGGGATTTTGGGATCACCAAATCGTCATAGCGACCATGATCCATGATGTGCATCATGAAGCTGTTGAGGGTTACGGTTTCCCGCAGGCTGATTGGACAGAAGAAGACCAGAGTTCTGGACTCATGAGCATGTTTGCTAAGGGACAAAATATTAGTGTGAGTGGTGAGGTTTTAAGCATATGCATTTATTTGAATGGATTCAAACTTGTGTACACACAATGCCTGTTCTCAGACTAAAAAATGATATCAACATTCACAACATATTGTAACTATTTGTAGCTCCCTATTTAAGTTAGAATGAGAGACAAATTGTTTTCGTGGCGTCCCTCTCTAACAAGTATTGCTTTCAAAGCTGCACAAGTTGCCAGCTGGTTCTGAAGTGCACAGTTAGTGCTAGAATGAGTGGGAGAGCATATTTCAATGATGCATTGCTCTTTGGTAAAGTCCAGATATGTGCCCTCAGGTCACAGAGTCAAGACCAATTCATCAAGGAGATACAGAGATAAGGGAAAGAGGCCAAACTGTTTGACACTGAGAATATAGAGAAGTCACTGGTGAAGTCAGAAGCAAACATGTTTATCAGAGATGCCAAAATAGATGGAGGGTTCAGTATCAATGTCATGGCACCGTTTTTATTATTAACAATTGTTGCAGATGTTTTGACAGCATGTTCTCTTCCTTGAGGCACATTGTGGGGGTCCAGCTCCACTTTGTGGTTGTTTTCAATCCAAGCCTTTTGGTTGTTGTAGATGTTTGGGCTGTGAGTAAGGAAGCCCGCATGCTCATCCAAACCAGATGGATACACTTTTAACTCAGCTTATTTCTCTGGGTTCAAAAAATATGTTTGCATTTGTGTAGCCATAAGAGATGAAGTAAAAGTTTTGGGTTTTTATCAAAAGCATGTGAATTTAGTTTTCAGAGTTTTTAAAATCCAAATTCCGTTATTTTCTTCTTCCAACAGGGGGATCCAGGCCCAGAGGGACCACGAGGGCTGCCTGGTATGACAGGACCTCAGGTAGCTTTATGTAGTAAATATTTAACTTAATGCATTGTTACCAAACGTCCCATTTGGTAAAGATGATGAGACCTAAGACATAAATTTGTACCAAAAAATGTAATATGCAAATGCTAAACAATTACCGCAATGTGAACTTTATTACTGATTGTTTATTTTCTAACTTTTTTCTTTCTTCTTGTTCTTGCTGCAGGGCCCAGCAGGACACGTCGGCCTGCCCGGATTGAAAGGTGATAAGGTGATTTAAATATTTATATTATTGTTGTGAATATGTGTGTTTTATTCCACTAGCTCAGTTCATGTAATTACACCAGTTGCAACTACCCTGTTGACAGTTTGATACACAACACAACTTCTACCACAAACTGTGACAAAAAGGCCAGAATAATAAAGACGCAATGAGGGATTGGAGCAGCAAACCAAAGCTGATGTCAAAGTGAATTATTTGTCCAGGTCAAAACTTCCAACTTGATGTTTAGCAGCTTTTTGCAATAAGTCGATTATATGTATTCAGATAAATTTGTGGGATGATTAAAGATTGCAATAATCAAAGTTTAAAATATAAAGTGCAGTGTACATATATTCCACGTTAGAATTGTGTTTATTTGTAACCTGTTGTACTGTGATTACTATGACAGGGGAGTGTTGTGTTATATCTTGTGTGATACTGTAAAATCTAGGGTGAAGTGGGTCAAAGGGGAGAGCCAGGAGAGATGGGCTACCAAGGTGACAAGGTAAGAAGTGACAAGTTCTAAAACTGCTTTGAATTTTGTCACTTATGCCAAGATGATTTTTGTGCCTTGCAGTCATGAGTGGTACAGCCCATGTCAGTGCGGTGTGGTATGCTTCTTGATTGTCTGGTGTATTCAGGAGAGCGTTTCCACTGCGAGCAGGCGGGGTTAAAGCCAAACGCCTAATGTTGCGTCATATTAATGCGACGACGAAAACATGACACATTATATCTTGTCCTTTTCACAAGCAGTGATGTTTTTCTGTCCTCCAATCAATGCACTGTGATGTGTGACACCAGTAGCTCCGCCCTGACCCTACCATTGTTCTACGGACCTAAAGGGGTCCAGGAATGGTGCGGTACAGGTCGGATGTTTGTGGTGGTTTTACTTTGGAAACAGACAAAGTGGTGTACCGAACTGCACTGGCCCACATGCAGACTTGCATTCTGCTGTAATGTTGCAATTTCACACAAAGCAAAACCAGTTGAAGATGATTGTATTTGTATGTTTTAGGGTGTTGCTGGTCCTCCTGGTCCTGCTGGGCCCAGAGGGAAACCAGGACCACCGGTACGTTCTAGTTCTCCATGGGAAAGAGGGTTCATTAGTTGTTAGGAAATATGTTTAGTCTGGCAATATTATTATAACTTGGGACAGTTTTTATTGGTTTGCCTTAGATGTGATGATCAAGGTGACATGGCTACAATGATTGTGAGTTTCGAAACAGAAGTTTAATTAAGAGATGCCCTAATTATGATACTGATCCATCTCATTTAACAGTAGATTTTGGTCATACTGAGTCCAAGTCTATTACCTTCTTAAAGTTAGTAAATCCAACACCATGTATGAGCTCCAGCATTTCCACCTACCCAAGATCACTGCATGTAGTAATTGTACCTGTTCACAGTTAATGTCATTTATTTCATTACCCTATCTAAATAATGTCAGATCCTGTCATTGTGTCAAATAAGCATAAACATGCTGCAATCAGATTAAACAAGACCCTGATACATTTAGAGACTACAAAACCCACAAATACAGAGCTTTGCAAATTTCATAATAAGTTTTCCACATGATCTGTGTCCAACATCTAGTGGTGTTGGTGAAAAGTGTAGCAGTGAGTTGATTAGACAGGGAACAACAGCCACTTAAAAATATAAAAACATTATATTTTGGGTGAAATCCATTCCTATTCCTTGTGGAAATTCTGTTAAAGAATATCTTATTAACCTCCTAGCACAAGTGCCTAAGCCATATTTTTGACGTTTCAGAAAACAAGAAGAAACAGTTTTTAAGCAAGCCTAACTCAAAGGAAAGACTTAGGGAAATATGGATTTTGGACTGTAACAAGTGTTCTGATAGGCTGAGAAGATTGACAATTAGGCAGGGCGACCAGTATAAGGAGGTCAATATTATGCTGAGATCTGGCCAAAATATGACTTAGGCAATTATGCGATGAGGCTTAGGATTTTCCAAAATTATATCATTGTTTTGCAAGCAATAATGTGTGACTGTTAGAAATTGCCCTCAAAATAAGCAAGACAATGAATTTGTCTTCATAGGAGAGCAGGTGACGTAATTGTAGAAGTTGAGTTTTGTATGTGATTCCCAAAGCCATGCTGAGAATCTCAGTCTAATCCCTGAGATTGGATCAGGACATCCATGGTTTATTTGTTCACATTATCAGTGTAGCTGTTTATTTAATCACACCTAATCAGAATTATTAGGTGCGATTAGGATACAAAGTAGGATAGACTAAGACTTTAGAGTGATTACTACAAAGAGGACTTGATGTTCAGCCAGGTTTTGAGAAGATTTAAGGGATTTAGTTCGATGATGGAAACCTCTTTTCTGTTTCTGTGATGAAAACCTTAATCACTTTACTGAATGTGTTTTTACTATCTAACGTTTGTGTCAGTGCAGAAACCCACCGGAGTAATTCAGAGTTCAATTCTGTCTGTTTGTTCTCTAATTTCAGAGAAATATGAATATAGCTGTGCTCCTTATTTACAGCTGAACATTGTCATGTTCAGCTTTATCATGTGTATATTATATATACTTTACTTTAAAGGGTAGAATTGGAGAAATTGGGACACAAGGACCACATGGGCCACCAGGACCAGAGGTAGGAATGATATACATGTTTTTTTTATATATACATATAAAAATATGTATAGTTCTGTAAATATGTGATACGTATTAGGTACAACACACTTTAACTTATTAAGTGAGAAATAACAGCAGAACTAAATTCAGACTGTTTTGGGTCCATTGAATTAAATATAGCACTATACTTTTTTTTAATTGTTGGAAAACTGAAAGGATGATGATATAAACACATTCTATTAAAAATGTTAAAGGAAATTATTGATATCTTGAAGGTAACTCCTCCACCAGTACTGAGAGTTATTGTTTAAGAGTGTTGTGGTGATCTTTTTAAACTGAAGAAGCATCTGGCTAAAGATAAAAGTGAGTTTATTTAAAATAAATTGCTGCTTAGTAAGCTTAGAAGCATTGTTGCTGTTGTTGCTTCTCTGGGCTCCTGTCAGTCCACACCACAGTGATAGTTTGCTCCATTAGTGTTGGCATAGTTACAAACCCAAAAGGGGAGAAGATGCAAATATTTAACTTTTTTTTTTCCATGGAAACATTTTTTCATGCTGAAAAAAATGAATAAGAGTTCAGGTTAGGACTAGACAGTGGCACAGTGAAAAATGCTGAATAAAGAAAAATATATTGTGTGTCTGTCCAAACATTAACAGCTGTAAAAGCATACTGAGTTTGTTAAGTCTTCTCTTTTGAGTGTTGTGGAATTGGAACATAAACAATATATTGATTTTCATGGCTACCCACTATCTGGATTCCACTAGAATGATGATCAAGGGAATTCAGGTTTAATAATACTGGCACCATTCACATGCAAGACAGATGGCATGACAACAAAGGAGAGAGAAAGATAACAAACCTTCACGTTTTGCTTGAAAAGAGAACTCAACATCTGAAGCTAGCTTCAGCTAAAAGAATTTCATGTTAAAATGTAGATTTAAAAGGCAGAGTTCACTCCACATTCAAAATCAACTTTAAATTTAAAATAAAATCAAAATCTGAACCTAATCCCCATGCTTCAGCTTCTGCAGTTTATTAGTCAGATTATTTTATTGAAAACTGGAGGTTTTAGTTCTGGATAATTAAAAGAGCCAAAGGTTTGTGCACCTGTCAGGTTTTATTTATTTATCTTTTCTATCATTTTATTTTAACTTGATATTGACAGACTGCAAATTATTGAGTAAAGAATGACTGGAGGATTGCACAGGACATTTTTTTTTATAAAAATCTGAAGTTGAAAGACACAAGACCAAGGAAACTCTTAACTGGTTTCAAAGAAAGAAATCAAATCTGCTGAAATGGATACAAACACCTGACTTATATTCAATATAAATCTTCAAGATTTGAATACAGTTGTGTGGAAGAATGTGCCAAAAGTCACACCTGAGCATTGCAGCTAATTCCTTCATACATCTTGAAGTTGCCAAGAAAGTGACTTGAATATGTAGTTAATACATTTAACTGCATTTAGTACTTATTTGCTTTGTCATTCTATTTATTTTCTTATCCTTAATTCTATTTCTGGATTACTGGGGGTGTTGCTGACATCTGGTTTGAATTTTGTGTCACTGGTTCCATTTGAAGCATTTAGACCGAGAAAAATTATGTGTTCAATTCTTATTTTACCCGCTGAATAACGCAACCACTAGAGTGCACCCAAGTGGTGAAGAAATAGTTCTTTAATCAGTCAAAACACACAACCAACCCTGTGCTGTGTCAGCCATTTACAGCATTCGGCAAACTAAGTTAGCAAATCTTCTTAGCGTAGACAGAGCATCTGCATAGCATAGCATGAGAGTCACATCATCGAGCCATTGGCACATTTACATAACTCTTACGGATATTTTAAAACGTTGGGATTCATTTACAGTCACTAAGTTACATCACCCATGCCAGAAAAGTTTTTGATCTGGGGATCACATCACACATGGTACAGTGTAAAACACACAAAAGATAATACGATGGAGAGTATTATTCACCAGAAGCTCTATATATCCATGTGTTAAAGGAAAGCAAGCTAGATACACAATGGTGTGACAAAGGCATTACAGCTAGTTTTAATTTCTTTTGGTTTATTTTGTTTTACAGTATCTTTGAAATTATGTCAACAAATGCAGCTCTAGATGGAAATTAAACTTTGTGTCATGACAATCCTGCATCAAGGTTTTCAATCTCAGTCAGCTCTATTTGGCATTACAGTATTTGTTTATACATAAACTTCGTAGAAGACTGTTATCAGATTTTGGAAATGCTACTTTTTAATCTGTCAGTGGTCCTAACTAAAACTTGCTATTTTTAAATGGAGTATAAATTTGTCCAAAATTGTTTTTAAGAAAGTAGCGATACTACACTAACAACATCTGTAATCTCTTTAATGCTTTTTGTAAGGGGTTTCCTGGAGACATCGGCGTTCCAGGCCCGAATGGCCCACCTGGACCGAAGGTAGAAACTCTCAAATCATCCACAAATGAAGCATTTACTTCACCTAATTGTTAGTAATGGCAGATTCGGTTGTGTTGCAGGGTTTGCAAGGTGCGAGAGGGCTCCAAGGCCCACCAGGGCCAAAAGGAGTACAGGTGAGATTGTTCAACACTTAAACTAGGTCAGATAAGTCATATTGTGTCTGCTCTGCTCCTGTTTCACTGCTCCACAGACATGGAAAATGTTAGACTAAATCCTGACTGATTATGAAGGTAAAAGTCATGTTGAATTTAGATCTGAGTGGAAGACTTTGTTACTGAAAGATCTCAGGGCATGTTCCACCAGGTGAAGTTATAATTTAAAATCAGATGCATATAAAAACTACTTTTTTTCCACTCCTGGAAAAGTGAACAGAAGCCTTTGGAAGAAGTACAACACACGCACACACACACAAACAGTATTTTATGCTGTGTTGAAAGCATTGAGTTGGCCAACAGCTGCCTTACTCAGAAGTAAGTGTTAAACTGAATTTCAGATCTTTTTCATTAGAATTTCTTCCAGTTTGGTTTATTAGGAATTCGTCTTAGGATTTACTAGACGTCGTAGAGAATTTAACAAATATGGAGATTTGCTCTTAGTTCTGTTTACGTTGACTTACAGGAAACAGGCATGACAACTTTATTGCCTGGGCTGGCATCAGTATTGCAGAGCTATTTTTGTTCTCTAAGCTTTACTGCTGGACAAAATAAGTTCCACATTTCTTTATATTATCAAGTGTGATTCTGTTAGTCATTTTACATCAGTTATTCATACCTAAAGATATGCAGCTGTTATAAGTGTTTTGGTTTTAATGGCTGTACTGTGTTTCTGCAGGGTGATGAAGGCCCACTCGGCCCACCTGGCAGCATTGGCCCGACTGTAAGAAGTCTCATCTAAATGTGCAAATACACATATAATCAGTGTAGGTTTTGGATGATATCAAATAAATAAGCTTCTTTTGATCAACACTTTTTATAAAGGGGAGATCTGGGAGGAAAGGTCATGCAGGTGAACCTGGACCTGAAGGCCTGCCGGTAAGCCTTTATGACACACTTTTTGTGTGTGTGTGTGTGTGTGTGTGTGTGTGTGTGTGTGTGTGTGTGTGTGTGTGTGTGTGTGTGTGTGTCATGAAACATTTGTTTTAAAATCTTTGGTTGTGTTATTGATTTAGCATTCTGTGGTTTTTCACCATAAGAGATTCGCCAAGCTACTGGGCAACTGAAGATGACTAATGACAACTTTTAAGTTGTGTCCAAATTTTTATATATTTTTTATGACACTAAGTTCTGGGTGATGTGATTTCCTCTCCCAAACATGAAGTTTATTGTTCGTCAGCCACATCATAACTAATTTAAGTGCATCATTACAAGTCATTGTTTGAAATGCCCATTTGTGTCAAAGATTTAACTCCTAAAGTTTTGCCATGATGTGTCACTATGATGGCAACGTACCAACAACATAAAGCTGCAACCACATATCTATTTGTCACAGTCAGAATCACGAAATTTAAAAATGTCCCTGTTTATCATAGCAAATATAACAATGATTATTCTGACATATGATCTGTTTTTATGAATTTCTCTCTGGGATTAATAAAACCTATTGAAATAACACAAAGGTCTATTTCAAAACACTTAAATTTAAGTTCCATTTTGACATCAGGATGTCAAATTTCCCTTAGTGCATTTGCAAAGTATAATCAAGCTTTTAGTGTTACTTTTGCAGTAATGATTTCTTCCTGTCTGAGTGGCATTGCTGGTCATATCAGCAGAGGAATAATTTCTCTGTGGTAAAAAGACATTTTACAAGGTTCCCTCACCATTGTTTTGCTTTTGTTCTGGGGTTAAAATGGACATTTTGAGTCAAAACTCTCTCACCTCTGGTACCGGTCTACTGATTGACTGGACATTTTCCTTGGGTTTGTACTTATATCGATCTCTTGAAGGAAGGAAGCAGTGAGTTTAAGGTGTTGCTCTATGATCCCTCTACAGGCTTGGCTCTGCTTAACTCAACTGTTATAAGCTGCTAAAATCTTGCAAAGCCCATCAGCATTTGGAGTCTTGCAAAAATGATCTTGGTGTACGTAAGCACTAAAAGTATTCCTGGATTCTGCCTTGTGTCAGTGCTTGGCCTCAAACGTGACACAGCTGGAAGCCAACCAGTTTGGCAAGATGCCACCCAGCTACGCCACAGCTGGAAATGTTTTCCTCACTGCTCACTTCTATATGTCAGGCAGATTTTTTTATGTTTCTTCTGGTTGTTTTTTTTTTTATTTCAGAGTAATTTATTGACATTTTCTGTGAGCGTTTGTTGTGTTTAATAGGCGAAAACTAATTAATAAGCTTTAAAACTGAATCAGACGAAGTTACATTAATATAGGTAGGTTTTCTCTTCTTAACCTGTCTTTTTGTGGTTATCTTGTGCTTGTTTTGATTTCCATCCATTTAAACACTTAGTCTGTGCTGTAAAGATGGACTTAATTAAGAGGGGAAATTATTTCCTCCATGGTCGTTGTCATGAAATGCATCATGGAACACCAAATTATTCACAGGCCTGTGCAGCCCATGTGTGTGTCCCGTTTTACACTTAATATCCTGCGAGCATACTGCCAAATTAGGAGTGGACTGATTATAGAGATCACTTTAACTACAGTAGCTAAATAGTAAAATTGTTTGATGTTTTCTCCTTGCAGGGAGAAAAAGGGGACATTGGAGATGTTGGAAAAGTTGGACCACCGGTAAGACTTTCCCACGCCTCTAATTGCTTGAGTTAAAGTGAAGCTGCTGCGTAAGTTGCAAAACCTTCCAATGTCTTCAAGCTTGCCTCATGAAATTTAATCAGACATCCTATTACTGTCTCCAAAACTAAATAAATTCATGCAAATCGTATATATGTTTAAGATTTGAGAGTTTTCCAACAAGAACTTTTTCTCTGTCTCTTTTTGTGAAATTTCCACAAACACAGCTACTTTGAACATTGGAAGAAGACCTGTCCCTCCAGTAGGCCCCTTAATGTTAATATTTGCATTCTGAGGATAGTAGAGACAACCAATTGGGCCAAGCAAGCTGGACTGTGTTGTTGCTGTGCACATATGAGAGGCATTAAGCACTTACTGAACAGAGGGCCCTTTGAAGCCAAACAGGAACCATGGAGCTATGCAGTGAGAAAGAAACTCTTAAGCATATGTTGGCTCTAATGAGTCCCATAACATCACTTTTCAGATAAATAAGATGTGACTGAAACTGAGAAAGAGTTGATGCTTTAATACCACCTGTCTTCACTAAGTGACTCCTTATCTGTAAAAGGTCTCGAGTGAAATTTTACCAGGAGCTTGGAACTGTTTTAGAACCACAACACACAAAAGATTCACTATGCAGCATTGTTAAAGTCAACCGTACGTTTGAAAATGTCAGCCTGCGTAGACTTGCACGCTGTCCTACTTCTATGAATCTAACAATAAAGTCCTATTTTATCCACTTTATGCAAACTTTTGTTCGTTTGCCTAGAAAGTTTGAGTTGTTTGGGGAGATATGAATGGCAAGCTTGGACCACAAAAGCAAACTCTGGTCCCGCCTACAAACCTGGGTCTCGGGTGAAGTGAACTCTGATGCGGCTCGAATGCAGATGTGGATGTAAGTGGACCGGAAATCTCTCCAAATGCAGGAAGCAAATCATAGCTCAGGGCATTCTGGGTAAATACTCCCCAAATAAGAGTCTGACGCTAGAGAGAGAAGTAGGTGATGGTCTTTTACCAAAACAAAAGAGAATTCCTACAAGTGCTAAAATATGGTACTCCACTCCATTTTTATTTACATTTTGTGAAGACTTGTGTTGGATCAGACCACATCAGCTGAAAATGTAACAAATGTTTCAGTTTTGGTCCTCAGTCGAAGTGAGTTTACCAGACTATCAGGTGTGAAAACACCCCAACGCTTAACTTCTGTCATCCACATTAGGCTTTCTAAGCAACCAGACCACCTAACCACAGAACCCCCAGAATCAGTTTGCCATGTCGCCAACTTTCTGTGTAGATTAAGGGACCTAAGGTCAACCTTGTGCTCTCGTTCCTCCATCTGCAGGCTGCATGTCTTCACCGTCAACTGGTGCTTACATGAATTCAACAGGTTAATCTTTTTACGGTGACGATATATGAGAGGCATTTTATAGCTGCCAGGCTTTTTGGCAAAGCTACAGAATTGCAAAGGGAACAAAGCTTTATAGTGTTTATGATAGCGGCCTGTTTCTTGTCTTCTAGTTTGTTTCATTCTCGGACTCTTTTTTTTTTTTTTTTTTACAGCTTTCAATGTAAATACACTGAGATACAGGAAAAAACGAAGTGTGATTACCCAGTGAGAAAGTGTGTTCACTGTGTGAACACTATAAATCAAACTCTGCAGTAAAACTTTGTGCAGTGGAAAGAGGCCACTATTGTCAGACTACTGTATTTTTACTCATATTGGTCTGTAATTGTGTCAGCATATGAAATATTACCATAACATCATGAAATGAGTCGAGCCCGGCACCGTCTTGGCTTTGCTCAAGTAGTTTTGGTGCTGTAAACTATAAGAATTGTGGCCCTAACCTTCATTTTATATTACTATAGTTTACATCCAGACTAAACATAGAAATTTGTGGATGTGATCTACCAAGTCTCAGATTTACAGTTTTAACAAACATACTGAAGAATAGCAGCAGAGAGACCGTGCAAGCTGCTGCAGCTCCCAGCCTATCTGTGTAAAGTCACTGATTCAAATGAAACCAGTGCAGAGCTGAATGACTGTCCCTCAAAACTGCAGTGTTTGGAGGAAAATATAAAATTTATAAAGGCAAACAAATTACACTCAATGCAACTTAACCCACAGGAACAAAACACGAGTCCAGAGAGGAGAGTTAGAGTTAGTTGACGTCTTCAATACACTCGTCAGGAGAGGCGAGATGGAAGTTTATGGAGGACTTTTTAGATGTCCTGAGCAAACAGCTGATAAAATGTTTGAGATGAAGTGTGCTAGAACATTTTAACAAGTTTGTGAAACCTAGTTGCAAAGAGTCCTTGTTCAAACCTCGTAATGTCTTGTCCGTCTGTTTTTCCATTTTACTAGATAAACATTTAAAGCAGCATTCTCATAAATTCTCTAAACATTTCTAACTTTGTTGTAAAATCGTCATTAAGCAGTATCAGATGTGTTGCAAATCAGTTCTGAAGCTGTTATCCTGGTTAGTGAAAAAATGTGTTTACTAGAGCATTTTTTTCTTTCCTGTGTAGCATCACTTCCTTTTACACTTAGCTCTTTATGCTGAAGAAACGTTTTGATTTCCAGCTGCACAGGGTTAGGTTGTTAGGTTGTATTTGTCCACAACCTTTTCGAACATTTCTAAAAGTATAAACATGAATTTTTAAGATTTTTTTAAAATAAAATGCTAGGTTTTCAGGCTGTGCTTATGATCTTTTCTGATATTTTTAACACTCTCAATCTACTACTTAAACTTCATTTTAGCTGAATGAAACTCACCCAAGACTTACAGAAGTCTTGGGTGGACTTTCACTGGAACCTGAAACGTCTTGCATTCCCTGCATCATGACAGCCTGCTAAGCAACCCGTGTTACTTTCTCCTGACGTGTTTGTGTTTAACACGCTTTCGTCTTCTCTCCTTTCCTCTCCTCCTTCTCTCCAGGGTCCAGTTGGCCTAATTGGAATAACTGGGGTGATGGGAGTTCCCGGTGAAAAGGTAAAGAGTGTGTTTCTCTGTCATTAGGCTGTCGGGCAGCATCAGCTGCTCACCTGTCAGCAACAGACCCCTATAATTAAGCCCATGTCAAAGCAGCCTGGACTAGAGACTCGAACACATGCTTGTGTAAACACTTGACACTCTCACATCCACATCAATAGCAGCATCGTCAAAGCCGTGTCACCTAGGGTGTTTAAGTTGAACATAAAAATTAAATTTGAAAGTCTTTTCTCTTAAAATACTTAAATTAATCAATCATTTCCAGCTCAACAAGATCCTAATACGTCTTTTCAAGTGTTTTTATTGAATCGTCTCCTAAAGAACACCCACGGTTTTGCCTTCCATCTCCATTGTTCCCTCCCTCTATCCCAACCTGTTTGCCCTGTCTTTCCTATCCAGAAGGCCCGTTTGTCAGAACATGTTCTTGTGTTGAGAAGCCATCTGCTTGTCAGATTCTTGCTTGTCCTCCAACTCCTCTCCCACAAACCTCTGCTCCTGATTCAGTCTGTCAGCACCAGTCGTACCCTGACAGCCTACAAATAATTTTGACATTATGAATAATTTTTTATTCTTTGCCACGCTCTTTGTTTAAAATGTTCAGCTCGCTATGAAGAAGTGTAACAAGAAACAAAGTTGGACTTAGTGTGCTGTACAATCATGGATTTTACCCAGTTTGTGAAAATAAAATACATAATGTTTGCAGGTTTACTGCTGGATATTGGCAGATTCTGGTCTTTCTGTCACCTATTTGTGCTCTATTTTAGATAGAAAATCACTGACACATTATCAAAATATTTTTATATTTTCATATGAATGCCATAAAAAGCTTCTATCTTCACCTTACTTAACAAATATTTATGATTTTTAAAAAAAATTTAGTTATGAAATGGCAGTTTTAACAATTGATTTGAGCTCTTTTTTAAATAATAAAATGTCTTTACCTAATGGAACCCATACACTTTAAAATGGTTTCTGCAACAAGAAATGAAATGAAAATGTAAGTAAAATTGGAATAGGAGTGAATAAAAAAAAAGTGTTTCAATTGAGAAGTCAAAATTTTACAAATTCTCTCAAATACACCACATGATCCAAATTTTCGCTAATTCCATGAACACAGTCAAAGTTGAACAAAAATCGGTTCTCAGAATCATAACCTCTTTCCCTTTGGATGTCCTTAACCAGGGAGACCGGGGCCTACCAGGTCCAACAGGTCCTGCCGGAGAGAAGGGACCCACGGTGAGTAAAGCCACAAACGATCTTAAATAAATTTTAATTGGGTTCTCGCAGTGTCAGCCATATTTTATTGAAGTTTTCTAGTTATGTTATCACATTTAAAATTCACCTTTCTCCACAAATGTCAATATTCTAATAGCGGATGTAATTTAAAAAGCTCTAACAATGGGAAAGTGGATTTTTAAATTGGAGATCAGTTACACAACATTTAGCGAAAAGCAGGTGGACCGTTTGGTAATTAACTCTATAATAAAAATACTTTACACATATTTTACATTGCATTTGTTGCTATTTATCCAGGTTCATCTATGATTATCACAGACATGGTATCTTCTGCAGATTGAAAGGTTAGGTCATCTTTTCATGTTGATGCACAGCAGAGCAATAACAGAAAGGAACAGACTAAAATATGCAAATTCTACACTAAAAGGCAAAACACGATTCAAACACAGAACATTCTTGCTGCCAGGCAACAATGCTAACACATGTTGCACCACATGGCTGCTAGCCATATTTTGCAAGAGTCAAATTGCTAGTGGAAACATTCAAAAACGTTGCTTAGCTGTTATGACAAAGGTGTGATTTGTATGAATGCCAGTTTAGATGTTTACATTGATTATTGAGAAAGCATACATATTTCTACCATATTTAAATTTAATTTTATATTAAAACAAGAATCATTTTCAAAATTGAAATTATTCTTTCACTTTCAAAAAATAATTTATTTCTTCTATTCTTCCCCAAAGATCAGATTTCAGAAACATACAGAACATAGTTGTTAAAAAACTTAGATATTTTATTGCTCTAACATGACAAAGTAAATGTGGTGTAACATCCTGATGAGAGGAACCTGTTTCTTTTTTTAAGTTTCCATCGTTTTGAAACCAGAGTTTTTGTCAAAGGAATAAATCAACCAGATTGTCCCCAGACAGCAGGATTTAATGATACAGGGTCTGCGTTCACCATGTTCTTTCATTCTACTGTATTTTTATGGGCGACTCTTTAAAAGTTATGTGGTGGAACATTGAGTTCTGTGCATTCTTCTTGTGCATGAGTATGGCTTTGAAACTGTTGCATCCATTGGATACATATGCATCAGTTTATCTTTTATGACGAGAAGAACTGCCGCTAACTAACAATGGCGTTAATATTTGGTTAATGTGTAAACCTGAAAAGATGACAGTGTTGTCTTCTGTGTCCACTTTGATACATGTAATGGTAAAATGCCTCAGGAAGGAATGCTGTTGGAGATTTTAATGGAACAGAAAAGCCAAGTTTATCAAGTCTGAACGCTGTTTCAGCATCAGCGTTTGCAAAATCTGTATGTTCCTTTATCCTCACTAAACTTTGACTGGCAAGTTAGTACTGGTAGAGACTTGAAGTGATCATTAAGTGATTATACTCTATTTTATAAACCTTTTAGTGGATAATATGTTATCTTTACTCTATAAACTCATTCAGTAGAAAAATTGTTGGCATGTATATTATTTTGACTAAGTTCATCCATAGAGAAAAAAGCGTAGAGAATATCTGCTGCTGCCCAGTTTTCTGTCTGCTGCAGAGCTGTGAGTCTGTTGGAGTGCTTGGCCTCGGTCTCTGGGCTTTGGATTAACGCCAGATCTGTGGATCTGGGCCTTCAGCTCTCATCTCTATCTGACACAGTGCCGAACAAACTGAATGATAGGTGCATAAACGGAGATTAACTTGATTTAATGTCTCTAGATATTTGTGTGTGAAATAAATTTAAAATCATTTTTGTAACGGACTCTGCTTTGACCTACTGCTGACCTACTAAAATCATGGATTTATTCAAAATCTCTAGTGTTGCCTGTATTTATATGAAGCTCACTGTGTCGTTCACCCATTTAAATAAATGATGCCACAGTGTTGCATCTACCTGCCTACATTTCAATTGTTTTTTTTTCTGTTCCCTGTTAGGGTTACCCAGGATCACCAGGAGGTCCTGGAGACATTGGCATGCAGGGTTCACCTGTAAGTATGTTCACAAAATATCAACATGTATGGCCTTAGTATACAGTATTTAATTGGGGGTTTTTTGCACAGAAAGCAAAGTGTGGGACAATAAAGGATATTTCTATTCTATTTATAATGACTGGATAAATAAAAAATAAATAACAAATACAATGGAAATCATCAAATCAGACTGTTTTTATGAAATAAATGTCATTCTTTGTACTTAATTTTAAAATATCTCAAAAGTGTTTTTTTTTTTTTTTTAAAACTTGCTTAATAATATTGTTATTTTTTTTGTCAGTACTTTTTTTAAAAAAACGTGTTGTTTTGATTTACAGGGCCCTCAGGGACAGAGGGGCAGTCCAGGAATCGCGGGGCCAAAAGGGAGAAGGGTAGGACCACGTTACTTTTACAAGAAAATGTCTTCAATTTATTGCAGAACCAATTCTTTATATATTGCAGTTGAGTTTATAGCTTTATTTCCATAATAAAACTAAAGCACATACAGTTCCATTTTTTCAGGCTTGACTGATACGCTGGAGGAAAAATTATAACTTCTGATAAATGTATTTTGGCTAAGAGAAAAATTACCCAAGACAGAGAGATAATTTATCCCTGAGCGTGCTTTATTTTTTAATTTTAGACTTCTGAGGTAGTAAGGTGATGTGTAAGGTAATATTATGTATAATTTCTGACCACCTATTAAAAAGTTTAAATCATGTGTGACATTGGAATTAACTCGTAAATCTGCTTCAGTTGTATTTGAAATCTTAACATACAAAACAGTTTCCATGTGACAAATAGTTTTTTATTTTACTTCACAGTCATAGCTAAGGATTTGTACTTATTCATTTCACTTAACTCAGAAATAATAAGATAAAAAGGAAATGCAAAAAAAAAAAACAATTTTGAGCTACTGCAGAAATGATAAATGTTTATCTAATTTTTTACTTAAATATTTAAGTTGGATTCTTAGTTCACACAAAAACCTGCTTTTTATCTTTAGTCCTCAAGAGCTAGTTTCCATGATGAATGAGATTTTCCCTGAACTCAACACACCTGAATCACATAAATGGTTGATTACAGCTTGTGATGAACCTGATTACATCCTGAGAAAGTTACTCAGCTGTGCAGATTCATGGGCGCATGGGAAACATGGAGAACCAGAGCTGTTTGGTTGCCTGCAGTCAACTGCTTACACATTATCCTGGTCCCTGATTTCACATTTACCATAAGAAATATTTATTAGATGGAGAACTTGTCCAACCTCAGGACTTTATTTGTCATCTCACAGAAAAGAGCTTAAATCAAATGAATGGGATAAAATACATTTTTAGCTGTGTTAAATTAGCAATTTTGGCAAACCTTGACTTACATAGATACTCATAACTTCTCTGATCCCAAATGTCATTCAGAAAAGGTTTTGCGGGATTTGTATGTTGAGAAACTTTAAATCTTCATCCCAACAGCATGAAAATTGCTGAATTTCTTTACTTCTTCAACTCTTATTATATATACTATATCAAAACCAACTTCTCCTCACTCTTCATTTATCATTATATCCATATTACTTATGCACAGGTGTATTTTTAAACTCCTGAATCTGAGGAACATTAAAATAGAATCCTCTTTCCAACTTTTCTAGCATCTAGTAAATATAAATATTTTTTTTTGTTTGACATACCTAACCTCAAACAGGAAATGTTTAGTCTGATTTTCTGTACTATCCTGTAATTTTAAGGATAGTTATTTTATATCACTTGCTAGCTTTTTATATTGACATCTAACGTAAGTAATCACTGATAGAAATACATGGAAGTAATGCTGAGACTGAGATATTTTGAGAAATATTTGTAGGATATGTGCGAAATTTCAGACTATAGCAGAAAACAAGATGCTAAGGTTTAGATTTAAGGTTTAGCGTTTTTGTATAACATTGCACATATATGGTTTGAAAGCCGCCGACACTATAACCGATAATAATGAAGCATAGTCCAGAATAATACATCCAAGAAATGATAGAGCTGTATATTGTTCACTTATCAATGCTTCCCTTTGTAAAGTAGTGTATCATACTGTTCTTTGAGTAAACCTCATGTTGGTGTTGTGCAGGGGCCCCGGGGTCCAGATGGCGCAACAGGAGAACCAGGATCTGAGGGCACCAAGGTAAACAACGTCCATATTCTTATAAACACAGAGTAAAAAAAAAAAAAAAAAAAACATGTAGCAATAAATGGGCAGCATTCATGCTATCTGTGGTATTTGTGCCAGGATCATAAGATCATCTTTGGAATTCTTACTTACAGATTTATTTCTTGATTTTCAGCACATTAAGATGTATTTATAACTGTTTAGGGAAAAAAAAAAAAGAAAGAAAACTCAATAATATTTCTTTGTTTCCAGGGTGAAAAGGGGGAAGCTGGCCCAAAAGGAGAACCAGGATTAATAGTAAGTATTTTTTCTAGATATGTATATACCAAAGAGTTAGAGGATTGGGTGCTTAAATTACACAGTTCAGAGGAATACCTACATATACCTATGTCATTTCTTCATCCTTGTTTTCATGCTTGCAAATGCGTCACTGTTCCAGATTTAAACCGAATGTCTTGGTAATGGTTTTGTCGTATTAATGTGATCAACCCTGACCAGATTTAAACTGTTTTTAACTGATTTTGTCTCTTCAAAGGGCAAAGCTGGCGTTCCCGGAGAAAGAGGCCCTCCTGGAAAACCAGTAAGTAAAATCTTTTTCTTTCACAGATTTAATCACCACCTACACATCCCCCATCACTATAGCTACAGTGGAATAACACACTCATAAAGCCCATCTCTCTCCTTTTTTCTTCCAACCTGCAAATCCCAATTTACCATAATTTAAGAGTTTGCTCCAGTCTTGTCATCCAGGAGGAAGTTTTTCATTAAAGAGGATTTGGTTCTGCTTCTGAGCATCCTGACAGATGTAAACAGATCTTCTCCCTTATCTTACCTGTAGGCTTTTAATTTTATCCTGAAATTGTTCTGCTTTGCTTTATATATAAATAACAGCTCATTATCTAGACAGCAGAGATAATATTCCACAATAACCAGATACTGGGTCACACAATGCTGATCCACCTCCTTTGCTTTTGCTGCTCTTCTTTAAATCCTTGTCTGGAAATATGATTAGAAAGCTGATCAGAGAGACGCTGGAGTCTTTGTCCATTACCATTTATGGAAGGGACTGTGTAAACTTACTCATCCTCTCTCTGCTCTTTGGTTGGTTCTGCTCTGCATCCCTTTTATTTCGTCTGGATTTTGGATGTCAGTTTGGGTATTTTTGAGCTTTTGAGATGCTTAGCAGTGGTTCTCAGTTCTGATGGCAAAACCTTGTTGCCACAGTTTAAAAGTCAGAAAAGTAAGAACAAAAATCCTTCCAGCTGCAAAGCATCCAAAAAAACCCCCCAATGCCTCAACCCAAAAAATTATGACTAAAAATCTACAAAAAGAACAATTTAGAACTAAAGCAATTGGGTTATTCCAGGATGCTGCCACCATGAGGAGCGCAGCTCTGAACACCTGCCAGACTTGCTTTTAACTGTAATCCACAAATTTTTATAATTAAGGTCAGGACCATTTCAAAAGCATAATCTTATCCTGCTCTGTAATTCCAAAAGCAACTCTTCAGTGTGTTGGGATCATGGCTCTGGCTGGAACACCCAGCTGTGTCAGAGTTACACTCATCTGGCCCAAACTTTGGTCTCTGATCAAAGGAAATTTAGTTGGGATGTTTAGGAACAGCCAAGGCTCAAGGACCTCATAGACTGGAAACTTCCACAGCAACAGTTTCACTTTTTACTGTGAAGAGTTTAACATCAGCATGGACTGAAAGGGTGCCAACCAATAAAAACTCCTTCCTCCAAATAGGACATCTTCAGTCAACACTTGTATTTGCAGCCTGTCAAACGGACAAACCGAATACCCTTTGAAGAAAGACTTACTGGTTGGACAAGACAAAGATGGAGCTTTTTTGGCCACAGCAGCAAGAAGTATTTTTCAAGGAGACTAAATGAAGCTTTCAAACCAAACAATGCAGCAATAACTGTCAAGAAAAGTCATGGGAGGAATCTGTTTCCCAGCAGTGCTGGGAAACAGATTCTGCACAAAATCTGCACAAAATCATTAATATATTGGTAGATTTCTGTGCCTCAACCGGACATTGATCTCCTACACACACCAAAGGTGCTTTTGGAATAAATAACATTCTGGTATGGCCCGAAGTCCAAACTTATAAAACAATTGATGGACACTACTTAAAACCAGATATAAAACTATTAGTACCATTTCTGAAAAAGAGAAAGTGAAAGATGTTTGCTGATTCACATAAAAGCATGTTGTTTCAAAGACTCCAATGGACTTACAAATCAAACAATGCAACACTAACTTGGTCAACTAACCAAGGATTGGTTGATTACAGCCTTCATACATACATTTGACTGTTAAAACTTATTGAAGATGCTTGTTGTATTATCAGACCCACAGTTATTATTCATCACTAAATTCCAAAAGGAATATTACATTGAAGATGATTGCTTGTAAACATTCACTGGCGTGGTATTTTTTATGATCAAGGCTGTTTATTGGATATGATTTTGCCTTTGTGTCAATGAATAGCAGTAGTTTAAGACGAACACAAAGAAGTCCACTGTGCTTTCCTCCATACAATAGTGATGCCTAGTCATTGTCTCATTATTAACAAGAAACGTGGGCCACTTTACGATCCCGTTTAATCCCAAAATGCTGAGCAAATCAAACCCAGCCTGCATGGGCAAACTGAACAATGTTTCCTGTTTGCTTTAGACTGGGGCTTATGTCCTTTTTTGTGTTTTCAACAAAGTGTTAATGGGGAGAAGATGCAGAGACATGGCTTTGGGAGACTTCTGTTTCAGCTTCGAGTGTTTTTATGTTCTAAAATGTATTTTTCCACTCGAGAAGTTTATGGATTATATTTCTTATAAGGTTTTGAAGGAGGTAAAAAGGATAAAAGAGCCAGTTTTCCACAGATGGGAGAAGAAAGCAAACTAAGATCAAACAGAAAACCAGAAACGGAGCCATGTGCACTCTCCAAGCCATTATACTATAATACATCAGCAGTACAATTTATAGCTTATTTTTTATTTATTCCATGGAGTAACTATCAGCTGCATAGTTAGTTTTGCTATGTTTCTGTTGCTTTTATCTACGGTGACAAATTCATTCCTGTACTTTTTCAATCTGGTACCTTTTATGACTTTATGACTTCAAAGGTTGTTTACTCTTCTGTTTTTGGCCAAATGTCCTTACAACCGCACATACATCACATTCAAGCATCTCTCAAAATGTTCAAACCAATGTGCGACTAATATTTGAGATTAGATTGAAAAACTATTATCCGAGCATATCTTTTTTTAGAGTAGCTGCAGATTTACAGTGGCTGCCCAGTATTAGATAAGAAATATCTGCAGCTTATACATAATCGTAAACAACACCACTCTGACAAACGTTTGTATCATGTGGGTTGGAGACGATAACTTTTGCTTGTTTTACTGTGGAGTTATGGCGCCATCTTGTGTCTGATGACGTCTCCTTCAAAACTTAAACTGAGAGAATCTGATTACCTCAGATGTGTGCAAATGTTAGCAGAAAAGGCAACTTTAAGTGAAAGCACTTTTTAGTGGTTTCGGCTTTTATCCAAAACAGTCTCTGCATTTCCATAAGGACTCTTGTTTCTCCAAATGTCCAAATTTATTCCCAACACTTTCTCTCTCCTGCATTTTTGTGTATTATCTACTCTTTGTTTTACTTTTGTTTTTCTAATAGAACTTCAATCCCAAGAATGGAAATGATGTTGAAATTATTTAAACAATCAGGTTTTCAGAGTTTCTTCCAATAAGCAAAAATTATGCATTTCAAATTGGAAAGCAATTATGTTAAATGCAAAGTAATTGACATTAACGTTTTAGGATTATATTAGAATTACTTGAGTCATTTTATTAAATACAGCCAATCAGCTATTCACATACACAGCAATTTCCACAAGCTTAGAGCTAATTAAACATTTCATGCAGTCAGCAGTTTTGTGCCCAGGTGTGAAGTTCTTTGTTCCATGGATTATATCCTGTCAAAAGAGAGTTTGAGGAATGAGGAGGAAGCCATCATTACTTTGTAATGACAGACTTTAAGTTGCAGCCAAACCAACACCTTGTTACATCTTTAAAAAAAAGAGGAATGCACGAATGAGCCAAGATGGATAAAAATGTTCTTAACATCATCTTGCCACGTTATCTCTATGAATAGAAGAAGAAGAATGTAAAAAATTGCCTTGAAGAATAGAAATGCTGCCATTACACAACAATGTAAATGTAAAAATCAAATGATTAAATGTTAAACCAAGTTCACTGAACTCTGATGTGTCTCTTTATGCTTCTCAATTACTGTAAGATCACAACTGTAGATTTGCATCTCTCAATTTTTTTTCTATTCCATAAACAATATTTAATGTTTATTTAGTATAAATGTTGGTAAAATACACGGTTTTTCAGGGACATGCAGGGCAGGTTTAAAGACTGAAGGTGAAGAGTTGAATGAAGGTCAAAGAAACACGAAGAGGCATTCATCCAATAAGGGCAGTATTAAACTGTCTACCACTTACTCTACATGTTTTTAGAATGTGTAGAATTTAATTTTTATTTTATATAACAAGTGGACATGTGAAATGCCTTTTTTTTAAATTATTCCTAAGGATNTATCAAAACCACTAATACCTTATTAAGACGATCTGCCTTTTGTTTGAAATGTGCAGGAAGACATGGGGTCGTAACATGTCTTCCAGTCTATATGATGCATTCACCTGCATCATATACACAGTTTGGTCAGATAAATCAGGCTTAACATGATGAAACACTATTGAGCTCTGCAGTTCTAACACACTATGTACAGTATGCAACATGTGTGACTGATAGACAATCAGTATCAGCTTAAACATTAAAAGAACAAATTGAACATTGTCTGACTGCATATTCCACTGTGCTGTTTACTCACCGCATGGTAAAAGTTATAACATTGTGTCCTTAGCAGCAAAACACTAAATTTCACACTCTTCCTCCCAATGTACTTCCACTATTCTGGAAGACATTCAATCAGAATGGATGAAAAACCAAACTGAAGCTGTTTTGTTCCAGTTTCTCTAAATTTCTCACTTCTTTTCTGTAGAGGATTTCACTATTAAATGAATCCTTTCATTTATTCCCATAATATGACCCATTGGAGTAATAGTAATGAAAGAAACTAATGCTTTTCCTGTATTTTTAGCAGCACTATGGTATCACTACTTTTTTCAAATTCTATTTTTTTTGTTTAACCCCTTAACTCTCACCCCACAAACACTTAATGACACATAACTCAATGACCCCCAGATTACACCAGTGTCACTGGGTTACAGGGTCAACCTGACGATGTGTTGATTGGGTTCAACAAATAAACATTATGAGATGGTACAGGATCGTCTGTCCAGTTGTGAATTACCCTCTCCATAGCAATGGTCAAAGAGAGTTGTTATTTTCTTTAGCTTGTTTTCTGTGTTCTTGTAATTGAGTGAAACAATGTGTCGACATGGCTGTGTTTGTTTCCAGGGAAAGTCCGGTATTCCAGGGAACACTGGTGAGAGGGGCCCTCAAGGGGAACCAGTAAGTATCCTCATCTGTGGTAGGAACGCGGTTGTTTTGGGAAACTGTAATCAAATGACACACCAACCAACTGCTTAAAAGGCTTCTTAAAGTGGAGGTGGGCTGGGTTGGAAGTATTTAATAAACACTCAAGAACCTCTGAGGAACATCATTACTAAAAACGAAACTGTTTATGAGGAAGATTAGTGGTATGATGAATGTTTCTTTATGTCACTTCCCTTCTTCTTCACACCTGAGTGCTCCCGGACTTTATTGGCTTCATCTTCATTTGTTCTTGAATTACCTGGAAACTCACCAAATGCTCAGGGGTATAAAGCATGTCAAACAATCAGACAAAGGCAGGTTTTAAGATGGGAGCATTTGGAAAAGCTAGAGGCTCTGGTAATGTAATGAGTCTTATCTTGTTTTTGGACAATGTTCAGCATCTTTATCCAAGGAATTCTCAGAACTCAAGCTGCTTTTCTCACATAACTTCTTATTAATTCATACTGTGTTCCTTTATCATCACAAAGGGAAAATTTTATTCATTATCAAAAACATCTATGAAGTATCAATTGACCATTTTTTTATTGGTTGTTCTTAGGGACCTAAAGGACCAACTGGGGAGTCTGGATCCAATGGAGAGCAGGGACCTGAAGTACTTAAACATAGCTTTTTATGACAAATATTTTGTCTTTTACTTGGCATTGACTTCAAATTCAGCTCTGTTGTTCCTCCCTAAACATTTTTGTGCACTTCCTTCCTCTTCTTGTGTATTTCTTTCAGGGTGTTCCAGGTGTAGAGGGAGGACCAGGTGCCATCGGAGAGCCAGGGTTAAAGGTTAGCAAAACATCGAAACATTTTTACATCTTTTTAACTGTAAAAGCTGCAATCATAATTAAATGTGTAAACGTAAGTTTGTTCCAGGAAACACTGTTGAAAGTTTAAAAAAAGATTAGGCTTTTTAATGACCATGAATGTTATGAACGCTGACACATTTATATTTAGTGTTTGATGAGCAGACAGTCATGTGTCGTCTCTTGCGTTTACTGTAGGGGGATGTTGGACTTCCAGGACCTGAAGGGGAACAGGGACAGGAGGGAATCAGAGTGAGTGATTAAAAATGATGCATTTGATGTTTTCCCTTCATGTGTCTTCAGATCATGCTTAATATCCTGTGTATGAAATGTTCATACACATGCTTTGTTTTTGTTTTTTTTTCTTGTTTTTTTTAAAGACACCAGTAAGGAACCGGTATTGTTTCTCAAATCCAGCAGGGGGAGACTTAACCGCCTGCCAGCAAACAAACAACTTTCCTTTTCTAATTTCATAAACGATGTCTGTTAACATCTTTTTCATTATCTTGTGATGCTAATCAAAAATGTTAGACAAGGTTTACAACAGCTCTAACTCAGATGATGACTATAGGGCTTCAGTCCCTTAACTAACAGTTCATCATATGTTATCCATATGTTATCGTGACATAGAAAAGTATTTTCTTAGGACTGTTGTTTTTCCACGGTGGAGTGATTTGGAGTTATAGCAAAGCTATAAAACTTAAGAGATTTTATAACAAATACTGAATAGATAATATAACATTTTATGTGGATGCTTTTTAATTCATCCACATGAATTAAAAATAATATTATTATTATTATTATTATTATAATAATAATAATAATATTATTATTATTATTATTATTATTATTATTAATTCATATAGTAAATTCTGAACAACTTCAAAACAATGACCTTTTAGGGCTTAACCTTCTAATGGAGTGTGTTGATGACTGTCTGCTGATTAGGTACATATTTTTTTATTGATGTAACATTTAACCCCAGAACTATTCAAACCTGTGAAAGATTTAAATGTAAAATGACCAGACACCATTTAACCTCATAGCCATGTTTCTGGACTGTGGGTGGAAGCCATAGTGCCCATGGAGAAACTCTGTGTAGAAAGACCCCAGGCTGGGATTCAGACCCAGAGCCTGTATTCTGCCCGGCAACAGCGCTGTCACCTGCCCCAGAACATACAACCATTGATGTTGAATGTTCTGTAGTCATTACATCCAACTCAAATGCTTTCCTAAAACCCCATAGTTAATGTGACAGTAATGCCTGTGATGTGTGTAAACATCTGACTAACTGTGCTCTGACACTTTAGTCCTGTTTTCTCTTCATGTGTTTTGACTGCCCTGCAGTGTTTTTTCTCATTCCCAGTCCTCAGCCCCCCTGACCTGCATATTTTAGGTACCTCCTTCTGCCACACACCTGTCTTGAGTAAAGTGATTAACAGGCTTCTGCAGCACTTGATGGCATGCAGAGGAGACCATGCAATCATTCAAATCAGGTGTTCTGGAACAGAGACACGTTTAAAATATGCAGCTCGGAGTGGCCCAAATTGAGAAACACTGCAGTAAAGCGCTGGTGTCCAGCTCCAGTACTCAGGGTCCGATGTCCTGCCAATTTCCAACACAGCTCACTCAAATGCTCCAACTACCTTCTCAGCATGTCATAGTGTGCTGCAGAGGCCAGCTAACAAGCCATTATTTGATCCAGGTGTGTGAAACCAGGGAAGGAGCTAAAACCTGCAGGACACCTGCTCTTGAGGACTGACTTTGGACACCACTGCATTAAAGTGGCAGTGGGTAGCTTTTACAAATATATATATATATATATATATATATATGTAATTTTATTTTCTGTATTAGATAAAACTGCTTCACAGCTGGATGAAACTGTAGATAAAACAGTATGAGACAGATAATCTGTGAGAAGATGGAGCTTCTCCACCTGCTCATTGAGCTACTATTGCCATCTGCAAAAATGCACAGCTTCACAGCCAAAAACAACCAATCAGAGCCAGGAAATCAACACTGCTCAATGTACTAATGGTGGAAAACTGACTTACAGTTCTAGGAAAATTATTTATCCACTGACACTGGTGGCCATTCTAACTAGTGTTAGCATTCATGGTGAGCTATGTAGCTGAGATCAAGGGGAATGGATGAGCATGAGAATGATTGACAGCACTAAGACCCTCCTCCTGGCTCTGATTGGTTGCTTCTGACTGAGTGGTGTATTTCTGCCGAAAAGACAGAGGAGCTCAATATGCTGCAGCTTTAAAGAAATGAAAATTATAGATATTAAATTAATTCAGATCTTTATCTGTGCCAAGCAAAATTATATGCGCAGTAAAACAATAAATAAAAAGAAAGCACAAATTATACTGAGGTGACAATCAAAGTCATCTGAGAACAGTTCTCCTAGTTAAAGTATGTATTATGAAATCTTAATTCTGTCCTAGTCTTCCTTTTCTCTCTCTGCTCTTCCACCTTTCAAGCTACTGTTGAATAAATGCCACTAGCAGAGTTTAAACCATTTAACATCTACAACAATCTAAGATCAGGAGTTCGTGACTCTGACCACAGTCACATAAAATCTGCTCCTGACTCACTGAGACACCGAGTGCTTTCTTTCCTTGTGTGTCCCAGACAGCTGCAGTTGTTCACCACAGAGACGTCCTTGTGCAGATTGTGCGGTGAATGTCTCATTGCTGACTCACTAATGGACTGAACATCTTAAGTGAAGTTTTTACAATGCACATAAATAAAGTTTAAGTGCTGTGATGTTCAAAACGCTGTGCTGAGACTCTGTGGACATGTCAAAGTGCCACAGAGAGTGAAGATGTTTTATGTCACAATTTATCTAACGTCACTGAATCTTTAGTTATAAATGACAGTTTTGGTGAACAGTTCATTTCTTCTAAAGACAGCTTTGGTACTGTTCACAATCATTAAGTTATTGTTGTGGTGTTTACTATGTTAATTGTTCCTCTGAAATACACATTTAGTAGAAAACATGCTTCTATAAATAGACTTTTTTATTTTTCTTGCATCGTCTCTGATTTAGCCGGTAGACCTCTTCAAGAAAAACACGTTTTTGTTTCAAACTGTAATTCACTGACAGGGTCCGCCTGGCCCCCCAGGGGAAGATGGCCCTCAGGGGAAAGATGGAGCGAAGGTAAGAACAGAAAACCTTTTTTAAATGACTATTTAAAATGTTTTCAATAAATTTGAGAGTTTAGATTAAAGTCTTCAAGCTAAACCTGTTTAGATTTGGAAAAATAATCAATTTAATTCCAAATCTTCCAAGAGAGATTCAAAATCTTATAACAAAATGAATATTCAGGTGTTTCTGTAGCTTTTTGTTTGATTTTTACTTTAATTTTGAATGGAGTCAGTTGGAGCACGAAACAGGGTTACAAGACTCCTACACATGCCCGAAAAGTTTGGAGAAGTATAAGATTTGATTAATACTTTTTCCACGTTTTCATAAGTATGGAAAAAGAAAATATGAATAAATGTTTGAACTTCCAAAGCCATCTGTCCCTCCATCCAAAAATAGGCTAAAAACAACAAAGTATTCTGGAAAGTTGAGTTTGGAAAATATGGGATTTCTGCATGAACAACATGAATCTTACTCATCACCTCATCCACCCGGGGTGTGAGTTTCATTCTTTCTCTGAATCTTTCAGGGTGATCCTGGAGAGCGTGGCCCTTTGGGTGAGCCTGGGGACAAAGGACTTGAAGGAGATCCAGGGCCCCAAGGACCAGCAGGAATACCTGGGAAACAGGGATTTCGCGCAAGTTATTTTTTTATCTTCCAAAATTTACTCTCAGATTTTAAGAATACATGAAAATCGTGCTGACAGTTATTCATGGCAGATGAAGCTGGGCAGTGGCACTGTGGCCTTCCAGACAGAAGGTTCTGGGTTTGAATCCCAGCTTTAGGTTGATTTTTGTCAGCACTGGAGATGAGCATCAGGACTCTCCTGACTCTGGATCAGCAGATAGATTTAATGGATGGATAATTTAATTTGTTCCATAACAAAGATGTAGTACTTTAACAGTGGTGTGTAAAAAATGGCAGCTTACAGTTTGAAATACGATGCAGCTAAGTCTTGTGTTTTGAGGACAAAGACTTTTATATTCATGCACTCATGAATTCTGATGTTCTGCCACTACAGCATCAAGGTCATTATAAAGCAATACAAGATGTGATGTGGTTTATATAGTGTCAAAAAGTACAGCAGTCAAGATAATAATAACACAGACGCAACTGTTTTCAGTAAATGCAACCAGATTACATCTTTGATTAACTTTTTGGTTGTTTTCTAAAACAAATCCTTCCGAGTGCCTAAATTATAAAATTCTCTCAGGCAGTTAAGTCAGGGGTTGGCATTCAGCAGTCCAGTCAGTTGTGCCACTAAGCATAAAAACATGTTTTATTTCATGTTGTTCTGATAGGGCCCAGAAGGAAAACTTGGCCCTCCAGGGAACAGAGGACGCCACGGAAAGAAGGTTAGGATCTTCCATATTTAAAAGTACCTTTTAAAAATGTACCTTATTGTTACCCTAAGAAATAAGAATCTATAGAGCGGGTTGTGGATTTGTGCATCAGTAGTTGAGATGTCTTTCACCCTAAAGCAGGACTTTAGGGTGGACCACCAGTTTCCATCCTGATATTTAAACTGATATAAACTGATATTTTGTCCTTCTTCTGCTTCTCTTCAGAGTCCAATTTTTGAGTATTTTACTTGATTTACTGTTTTATATGCACATTTTTTTCTCTCCCACTGAATGCTTGTTCTCTTGTTGTTGTTTTTTTTTTTAAAAAAACAGTTTGAAATAAATAAATAATATGACCGAACCCCACATCACTACTTCTTCCCCTGATCAAAATGTCTAAGCTGAAGGTCTTTCTGTCTCCGATTTATTCTATCCTGTGCCATTTTTTCCAACCATCCCCTGATCTTTTGGATCTTTGCAGGGAGAGAGGGGCCCTCCAGGTCTTCCTGGTGAGATTGGCTCTCGAGGGGACATCGGCCAACCGGGCGAGGCAGGGCCGAAAGGGGCCCGGGGAACTCGAGGCCCTCCTGTTAGTTCCCATTTGTTCTGCTTTTCCTTTTGCTTTGGATTTCCTTAAAATCAAACTAAAACTACTGTAGATGGAAACAATGTCAGTGAATATGAGTTGAACGCTAAATAAGTGAGTCACTATAATGTTTAAGTAAAATAAAACAAAAGCTTCATGTAGTTACTTTATTATTTTTTTCTCAGGGTCAACCAGGAGTCCTGGGGCTTGAGGGACAACCAGGACTGTCAGGATATCCAGTGAGTTTTTCATGCGTTTTATATTAAAAAACACTTCAAAAATACTATATGATCAGAGTCATAAGGATATTTTTGAGTTGAGAACACCAGTCGGCAAATTAGAGAACATATTAATGATAAAATATCACATTTGATTTACATAGGGCAGCCATTTATGTTTATTATGTATAAATAAGACAACTTTTGTCTTTCATAGGGACACCCTGGCAAACCTGGGCCCATTGGACCACCAGGACCCAAAGGTGAAAAGGTAATACGATCTAAATTAGTGATCCAAATTAAAATACTTCCAAAGAATTTAAACATGTTTAAGTGTGAAAGTGTGAAAATGTATTGACTTGAGTTGTTGCATAAATTGTGACTTTGACTGTGATGCATCCCAGGGTTATCCAGGCGAGGACAATAAGACTCCAGGATCACCAGGGCCCTTAGGTGAACCAGTAGGTCTTGCTTTCCTTCAAACTCTGCTTTTTATGCAATCTTTTCTCTGTCATATAAAAAAAAAACAATGTTTTTATTTTTCATAAAAACACTTATACTTTAGGAAAGCTGCAGTGTTCTATTTTTATTTTCCTTGCAATGCATTTATTTCCTTTGCATTAGTTGTTATACTGAGATCTACTGTTGGCTGTGGCAAAAATAATCCAAAATAATTTCAGGTATATACAAAAAGGGAATTATGTGACATATTGGAAAACAATCTGTTTTCACCACAAAAAATAAGACTATAACAACCTCACTCTGCAATCTATAAATGGCAAGCTTGTTTTTAGGATTTACAGTGCAGAGTATGATCATTAAAGTGAGAGTCGCTTCTTTGACGAAGCTGAACAAGTTCTGTATGTTGGCCTGACAAGTAACTATGTTCAAGTAGGATTGCAGCCAAGGAGAATCAAGCCAATGTATTGCACATGTTTTCATGTAGCTGCATGATTGTCTACTCAGGGGCCTGCAGGAGAGCGTGGGGAGCGCGGGGAGCCAGGAGATGAAGGATACAAGGTTGGTAAAACCACAAAAACAATGTGATGTGTTACAGTACAGGGCAAGACTACAGCAAATGCTAATTTTTCTTTGTTTTCTTTGAGGGGTTTAGACATTTATATGTGACCTGTAAGTGAAGTGAGAAACTGTGTTCACTGATTTCAAACACTGATTCTTTGTTTGTTTGTGCTGCTTTCATGTGATCTCATATTAAGATTAATCTAACTAATAATGTATTATTTTCTAAAGAATGATTTGCAATAACATTTTTAGTGGAAAGTTGTCATACAAATATAAATATCTTTTCACATTATTTTACTAAAATTTACTAAAGTCACTAAAAATGTGACCACAGTTGCCTTAATGTGTTATTAGATTAAAAAAACAAACAAAAAAGAAAAGCAATTACACAGTACTGTTTACTCTGACATTGTGGCTGAGGGCATTAAATATGCAGCAACATTCCTTCCCTCCAGAAAAATTAGTATCTAGTTTGCGTATTTAAAGGTGATCAGAAAAGCATACGATCATGTCTTGAATATCGATGTTCCAGGGTCATGTTGGTGTGATTGGACCTCGTGGCAGAATTGGACCACCCGGCCCACCGGTGAGTCAACAGACTCTAAAATATTGCATTAACACAACTTTGATAAGGATAATAATTTTTATTGGTTGTATGTGTTTATATTTTTGCATGGTGAAGGGTCTACCTGGCCAGCCTGGAGAACCAGGAGTTAAAGGAGAAAAGGGGCCTCCTGTGAGTCACTGCACTCATTTTACCTGCACATTTAAAGTGCAACATATGTAATTTAAAAACAACTTGAAAACAAGATCAAAAAGTGTCCAGACTCTCAATTCGGAGAGATGTTCTAAGTTACACACTGATATCAGGCAAGCAACTAGGTAAATACAGTTTGTCGTCGCCACTTATTTACCTGTTGTTTTCTCTGCTTGGCTTCGGTTCAGTCTCTTTTTGTGAGGTAAACAAAAAGCAACATCTGCTGCCTTCTGTTAGAAACGTTCATCATTTGGTCTGACATGAAAACACTGGAGACTTTTTCTGGTTTCCTGTTTATGCCTGTTTCAAATTAAAAGCTTTGGTAAACCATACCATGTTTGTATCCTCTGAAGCTATAAATAGCTTTTTTTTAAATGCATTTGTCTTTCTGGATATGAAAGTGTGATATTGCTGTGTAATTTTTTAGTATTATTTTTTTATTATTGTTTTATGATTTGAAAATAATCAACTTGACACAATGACTTGTTTACAGTCACTTACGTTTCACACTTTAGGGCTCAGCTGGAAAGAAGGGAGTGAGGGGTCTGAATGGAGCCCCTGGTGCTGAAGTGAGTGATTGCCTGCCTTAGACAGAAACTACTGCAACATTTTTTTTACTACTGTGTAAATTTCATATATTTATCAATAAAAAAACAACTTTGCCAGCTGAAAAAGACGCATACTATTTCATTTTACTCTGCACTGTTCGGCAATCGAAAGAAGCATGGCTTCTGAAGAGACTGTGGCTTGAGTGAAAAATATTTCCATTGAAATACCTATGTAGAGAAAATTAACAACACCAAGCTTTCAAGCTTCACAATGTTAACTAATGAAGCTTTTTAACCAAATGATAAAATAAGGATATCTAATCCCATTCACTTTGGAACAAAATAAAAAATTTTATTTTAGGTTTTCAAATTTAGCGTTGGAGTCTTCATACAACAAAAATATCACTTATTTTTTCAATGTTAATTTAATCTCATGACTCCAGACACAATTATGTGTCCCAGTGTAAGAGGAAATAAAAAACTGTTGACACCAGGTTCTTCAACAAGAATGCATTTGGAATCATCAATGTCAATGTTGGCATGTACAGATGACCTTCAGCCTTAAAATGACCATAATTTAATCTCCTTTTGGGATCAATAAAGTATTTTTGAATTAGAATTTTTAAATAAGAGATGTTGTCATTCTCCAGGGTCCAACTGGTTTACCTGGACTCACGGGACCAAAAGGTTATCTAGGTCCAGATGGTCTTCCAGGACTGACTGGCTTACCAGGTCTGCCAGGAAAACCAGGGCGACAGGTAACAGCTGCATTGCACTGCAGAAGATTGTAGCTGTTTGGTTGTGACTAAAGCTTTCCAGGTTTAGGGTTCAGCCTTCAGAATACACAAATCTAGAGAGTACAGATGTTGGAGATAACTTCTGACAAACCCAAATGTATGTTGTCACAATCTGGAGGTTTTATAATCTTACAAGACTGCAGCTCTATATATGCAAAACTTGAACTTTGGTACTTTAGAAGCGGTACGTTTTTAGTTCTGTTTCAGAAAAGGAAAGGCTAAAGATTTTTTGAATGGTCAGTCATAAACAACAATGCGGAAAAAACACTGAAAAGAGTTGGAAAAATTTGGATCTCACATCCAAACAGTTGGAGTTGAAAACCTTGATCTTTGCTGACACACTTAAGCCTTCTTTAATGTGTTAGCAAATGTTAGCCAGCATGAAATTAAGTATTTAAAAAGCTAATTTTGTAAAGAACTTTCAGTATTGATTTTATTATAGTTGGCAAATAAACAATTAACCTACTTAGAAAGATAAATATTCACAAAAACTACAATTCCTTTTCTGCCTGTGGCATTAAAACTTAATTTCAAGTTGTAACAAATCTATGTTCTCCTCTGGAGGATCAGGTGATCGGTATGAAAATCCACATACAGGCACCATATTAGTTGTTTATATTCACTTAAAATGATTTATTTTACTAATCTTCGAAACTTTTTTCACATTCATATCTTGGTCAGTTTATATTTATTTCGGTTTTATTTTTATTTGTTTGTAGTATTTTATTTTTGCCACTTTTACCTTTAATCATTTTTTTAAAATTATAAGCACTTTGGTCAGTACCGTTTCTAAAGTGCTTCATAAAACTTGGCTTTGCTTGGCTTGTTTGATTTTATTGGTCTCACCTGATTGTAGCACTGTGGGTTTATTTAAACATGTCAGGAGCCAAACTGGAGAATTTTATACAGGCTTGGAAAGTCAGGTTCCCTTGTGTGAATTTCATTTACACAACATCGTATAACAATCAAGTGTGACTAATTCAGGAATCTCTTACTTTAATTGTAATGTATCTCACAGAGTGATGCAGATATTGCATTTTAAGTCATCTTTTTTGGACAGGAATGTGTCATTTCTTCACATAAACTATCCAATCAGTGTAATTTTGTTGGTGTTTTATTCTATTTTCTAAATTTACCAATGTGATGCTATAAACCTCAGCCAAAGGAACGCAGATGGCCGAACCTAAGAGTAGTTTTAATGTGCAAAAACATTGCATTGCATGTTAAAAATGTTATGACATGTAATTTAAGTTGAAGTAATATGAGACTGACTTGCCAAGCTCCACAACAACATTGTAAAATTATCACCCAGGCCACGCAGGAGCCTCTGCTGAGCAGTTCCCATTTTTTAATGACCCAGTGTGTATTCAAAATCAGATATGCATTGATTTCCAAAGAGCCCATAATGCCTGTAGCCTCTATACTCAGGAGGGTTTTGCATGTTCACATGTGTTTTAATGGCCGCTGCCAGAACTGTGGGAAATTTCCTTAGCGTGGGATTTTGCCCAACTCTACATCCAACAGTAAATCAATCATCTTAGTTCTCCACAACATTTTCCATAGCTCCTGTACGCACCATGCATATGTGTGAGAGAGTCGCTGCTCCATCCTCATTAAATCTCAAGAAGTTGAAAGATTACAAAAAAAAAAAACCTTTAACTCCTGTTTGGGTTTCATGACAGCTCTGCAATTTCCGTCTGGTTCTCAACTTGTCAACTCGTCTAAAAGAGACTGAAGAATAGAAGCCATATCTGGGATGACAGCGAGCTCTGTGTGTTTTCTAATGAGTCGTTCCATTTTGCTTCACCACGCAGCAAATGGAGCAGAAAACCACCATACACTACAAAGGAACAACTGTTACTGTTATAACATTTTTGAAGGAAAGGGGAAAATACTTGGTTTTGGTATTCATTAAGCTTTACTAGCTTTTATGGTGAAGCAGAATTAGACAGTAAGTCATTGACTGCTGGTAGAGTTTGTGGCACCCTTAAAACTCAAGAAACAGCCTAATCAGAAAGTCACATAACTTTTGTATTTTATCTCATACCTAACAAAACCCCCTACATCAGGACATTTTCTTGCTGTTGTATTGCTACCTTCTTTGTTGCATCTAGCTGTGAAGCAGAAGAAGAAAGATACTTGTCGAAAACATGGGTGGAAATTATTTTTGTGTTCAAAACATTTAATACAATAATACTTTTTGTTTTTGATCACATATTTAAAATTAATTTTCTACTTTATTAGTTTACAGTCTCTTAAAATTAAGAGACAATTTTCTGATAACTGGTTATGTTGTTGCAGTTGATCAAAACGATGATCTTTAACGTTTGTTCTTATTGTCAAATATCATGCAAAGAAAAAATTCTATATAACCAATAGTTTCTCCACAATTTTCCCCACATTTAAGAATTATCACTCGGCGTGTTTTAAAGATATTTCTGCCTGTATTTATTTATAAGTCAGACCAAATTGCTGTTGGTTCCAAAATACTAAAGCTTTTGCCTAAAGAGAGGTTGTGTGGAAATTTATCTTCTACCAAAAGTTATAGATTAAGAAGGAGCAAATGTTACTGATTTCAAAATGTTTTTCCAACATGACGCAACCAGCATTTTCTTGATTACACGTCTTGTTCACCTGCAGGGTCAGCGAGGCTCGTTGGGCCCAGAGGGCCCTGCTGGGCGTCCAGGTCCCAGGGGAGAAACTGGACTTCCTGGAGCACCTGGAGAGAGCGGACCACCTGGTCAGAAGGTGAGAAAAAGACGGGAGGAAAAAGCTCAATTAACTGAAGTTGGTGTTTCACGTTAAATTATTATTATTATTTTTAATAAACTTGTAAATAAATGACACTTCATAATAATTTAGGGTGAACTTGGCCTGCTTGGAGACAGGGGAGCTCCTGGATACAAAGGCGTAGAGGGATCGACAGGTGACCAAGGCAAGAAAGGTGATCCAGGACCTAAAGGACAAGCAGTGAGTGGAAACTCCACTTAAATAAGACCCAAAGCTGTACACAGAACCCCAAATGTTCCTTCCAAGGATGCTGTGCAGTTTAGAAACTTTAATATGAAAATCTACCTTTTGATTGATTTTTACCTTCATCTAATTTGCATATTTTATCAACTTTTCCCCTGATGTGTATTTAAATTTCTCTAATTGTTATTCAAATATCAAGAATATGCATTTCTGCATAAAGATTCAAAAGATAATAGCAAATTAAGAACTAAAGTGAGTAGCTAAATGGGGGTTACACTTTAATTTATGATGCAACAAAATAAAATTTATATTCCAATAAGACTAAAAGAAAAAATAGAAAATGTATAAATAATAGATACACTCTAGTACACAAACAAATGGTTGATAAGAATTGCAATATACTGAAAGATGAAAGCATGAAGCACAGTGTCTCTGGGGAGCTGGAACCAAATGAGAGAGAAAAGAGAAGCGGGTTCAATCATATTAAATATGAAAAGGAATCTTTGCACGAAGCAGATGAAAAAATGATTATAAAATAAAGTTATTTGGGCTACATGACAGAAAGAAGCACAACACAAACTAAAACCAAGCAGAATCTCACAAAAAGTAAGGGACACATGAAAACTGATCTGAATAAAAACATAACAGCATAATCCACCAACTGTACCACATTAATCTGGATAACTGATACCATCCTTGGAATGTTCTTGTTGAGCAGGATTATAAATCGGCTTCTTTCCTAAACTTCTCTCCAAATATAACTTCAGGCTATATGTAACTGATATGTATTTAGTCAAAATATCTGTGCCTGATGCTTTTCCAGCCTGGATAGAGCAACAAATTATTGGGGCGAGAACTAAAATGGAAACATTCCATCTGAAAAGTTATGTAAGAGCAGCGTGCTCCAGTGTCCTGAGAAAAAGAGGTGCTCCACTTTACTTATGCAACAAAAAGAGAGAGAATGAGAGAAAGGAAACAGAACTCAGTCCCCCCAAACCTCCCTCTTTCTACTCGTTATCTCCACTGACATTTCTAAAACAGAGGGGGGTGGTTACCCCTGGGTCAGATTCCTTTACACTTCTCAGTGAATGCAGTTTCCCAGCCAAAGACGCTGGTTTGAAAACGGAGCTCTCCAAAGGATGTGAAAGACTGGCTGTACAAACATGCCACTAGAAACACCTGGGAAGCAGACACAGAGACACAGACACAGAAAAGGATGCAGACATTCCTCCTGTGTGTGTGTGTGTGTTTCTTGGAAGTTATGTGGAGGGTTGTTGGGGCTACTGTAGATCCAGAGGCAGAACTAATATCTGTTCAAGTTTTTCCAAAATAGACACAAAGGCCATTTTTTGTGGGATATTGAATGCATTGCTTTGGAACGCTTTGAAGCATAATATAAAATCATAAACACTATGCATGTTCTTATTTTTTTCATATGGCTTTTTGGGGTCACTGATATCTTTGTCTCTGCAGGGAGATTCTGGAGATTTGGGAATGGTTGGTTTACAAGGCTTTCCTGGGCCAAAAGTAAGAAACATTTAAGTTGTGCAATTATAATGAAGCAAAACATAATATTGATGACATTATTATTCATTTTTGCCTGGAAACAGGGCCCAAATGGTGACTTGGGACTGAGAGGCATCCCAGGCCCTAAAGGGCCTTTAGGTTCTTTGGTAAGTTCAAATAAATTCTAAATGTTAATTTTCTCACATTTGACACATAATATCAATGTTTCATAATAAAAGGTTGTCTTCAGTGCATTTTTAAAACATCAGTGTCATTTCCATTTTGGTGTTATTATGTTTTTACATTTAATTTTCCTCTTAATATGAGACCTACTATAACCGAATATCTACTCTTATATTACTTGCATTGGTATTATCAATCAATCAGATTTTATTTGTATAGCACCTGTCAGCAGCAAGGCGTTTCAAAGTGCTTGTATCACAAAAAAAGGATAATTTTTGGGACATAAATAGGTACAAAAATACATGCAAATGATTTTTTAAATGAAGGCTAATTATAAAAATATTGTTGTTGTACAAATTTATTTCACCTTTCAGGGATTTGCTGGACCTGTGGGCCCTGAAGGAATGATTGGTCCACTAGGAAAACCTGTAGGTTTGAACTTGCCTAGTGTCATTGCTACACATTTGATTTACCTTTCATAAAATCAGCTTATTGCAATGTGCTTGATGTTAAAGTGACAGATTTGTTACAGAGGTTTCTTTTTTTAACCTGCTTTAGGGCCCAAGGGGCCCAAAAGGAAGCAATGGTGAAATGGTGAGTATTTTAAGTTTGTGTAGTTTGTGCTATTCAAAATATATTGTTGTTTTGTAAGATGAAGGAGTAGATGGCAAAAAAAAAGTATTCAGTTGTAAATAGGCGTAGAAGAAAGCTTCAGTGGTATAACTACTGTACATGTCTGGTCAGAAATATAGCTCTTACTTCAAAAATGATGGATCAAGCCTAAGAGTCTCTTGTTTTTCCACAAATCATTTGGCTTCTCATTTTAGACCTCTGGAGATTTTACATGTGCATGAAGAACAGTGACATTGACGCTCCAACATCTTCTGGTTTATGAACAGTTCATTTATTGTTCCTGAACATTCTGACCAATTTCCACTCATTGGAAGTGAATGTTCCAGGTGATTCAAGCTTGGACACCAGTGTTTGTTCCAACAGTAAAATGGTCCCAAACACCTGGTACTAAACTGGTATAGGAAAAATAAATCACGTGGATATTAACCCTCCTGCTGTCTTAAGAAATGGAATCCTTTGGACCAAACAAATATTTTACGCTGTATGTGGTTTCACTGACCCTGCGTGCGCTTTTACAAGGTTTTTTTTTTTTTTTTTTTGGGGGGGGGGGGGTTTTTTTTGGAAACGGTGGGGGGTTTTTTTTTAAATTTGGTTTTTTT